ATATTAATAAATATTGAAAGCAACATTTATCAGGTATTCTTTTGAAATTAATCCTATTTTTTAGTTAATTATTGGCTTAATTTAATAAACTAATAGCTCTTTTATATTGAAATTAAGTTATTTGGTTAAATATTTCTAAAGCTCTTTGTACTAAAATAATATCATAATCTTGAATAAGGTTTATTCATAAAACAAATAATTCGAATAAAACAAATAAAGCAAATAAAGCAAATAAAACAAAAAAATTCAAATAAAGTGAATAAAACAAATAAAACCAAACAAAATGAATAAATTCAAATAAAGCAAATAAAGCAAATAAAGCAAATAAAGCAAATAGATTTGAATAAAATGAATAATAAAATAAAGCAAATAAAGCAAATAATAGTAATTTGAATAAAAGCAAATAAAGTGAATAATTTGAATGAGAGAGAATAATAACCGGACCTGGACACTTTACCAACACCCACTTTATTGACAAGACACTTTACCAACAATACACGACGTGATATTTTAGCATTTTGTTAGTTTGTTTGATTGTGTAGAGATTAAATGTAACCCCGTGTCTTGTCAGTAAAGTGTCCCAGACCCAATAATAACAACTCGAATAGAATAATTCAATTTGTATTATGAATAGAAACCATGCATAAAAATTAAAAAATAATTAATTTTGTTACTTTGGTTGTTAGGGGGGAATCCAAAGCCAAAATTAGTAAAATTCTTGGTTTTACTAAAATTAGAATTATTCAAACTATAGTGAAAAAACTGGTTTGCAAACATTGATCTACACAAAAAGTTTTCATGATCTTAATAATAAGACGTTTAGAATTTTACATGATTAATTTTCAAAATGATCAACTTTTATTATTTTTGATGCCCAAGTCTAGAAATCTAGAACTTTATATGCAGAGTTTCCAGAACATTAGATACAAGCTGATAAATTTTTTTGTACAATTATTATGTTATTTTTTTGCATAATTGATGTATTTAGGATGTCCGAAGCTTTCATTAAGATACAAAAAATGTCCCTCAGTTTTCATAAAATACATGGAAAACAGAAATTACATGTGCACTTTTATATGTTTTCTTATTTATTATTATCACACTGCTTTTCCATATGAAAGTTCTGTTTTTATTTTCTAAAAACTATGGACATTTTTCATGTGTTGTATATTTTCCGTGTAAGAAGATATGGAAACACACTCTTTTACTGGAAGATTCCATGAAAAAATTTTTATATATAGGGACGCAACACAAGCTTTTTGAAGTGAGAATAATATTTTATTCAAGTTTACATAATATAATAACCAATTTCTTAAATATATTTTTTTTCTAATGACATATTTTAAATAATAAAAAAAAAGCATTTGCTCTTCACAGATCCTGATTAGTCCTAGCCAATTCAATATCCAAAAAAAGCAACAAGTACTGTTTCACCCTTCTTTTGACCAGGGCTTGACACCATCTATGCCACTCTTCTTTTTTCACTGTAGATCGTTGCTTCTTAAAATCCTTGCGCCAGTTTATGACCAAATTCATTGTCTTTCTTTAGTAAGTAAACACAATCAATTTCTATCTGTGTGTTTGACAATATGGATCAAAGATTGCTCTGGGAATACCATTACATGCAATTTCAAGATTTCACAAAATCATTCTCATTGATAGCACTGTTGCAATTTGGGACTGGAATGTATAATTCAAGTGCCAGATTTGTGCACTTGCTTTATACACATCTCCTATGGTGTTAATACCAAAATGAATTTGCTAACTTCAAAATCATGAGGTATTATCAATAATGATGCTCCATAAAACATATTCAAGATTTGTTGTGACTATTTCACATCAACCGCAGCACCTTTATCATTTTTTTATTGTATTGGGAATAATAAATTATGTGCGTGTTCCAAAATTCATCAGAAAATGAAACTCTTCAATAAAATGCACATCATAAAGTCATGTCAATGTCTAGATTCCCAGTGATACATGTCTGAAAGAATGATATTATTTTTGATATGTTCATAACAAGCACACTTGTAAATGACACAGTGTCTTTGCTGGCATCTGAAAGTGGTGGAAGAAGAGTGGTCATTCCTTGATCCAAATATACATCAAGAGCAGAGTGCATAAAGTGAACAATTTGTTCAACCATATTATCACTTATGTAAATTCTCTTGGAAGGACTGCACAAGAGATTTTCATTTTTGCATTTCTATTAACATTGTTTCTCGAATAATTTATTATACTCTAATCTCATTTAAAATAAATAATATTATTTGCACATGACAAGAGCTCTGAAAAGATATATTTCTTTACTTCCATCAATTCATCACTAGATAAATAAATATTGGTTGACTTCTTTATCAGCGTGATTACTCATCTAACTAATGACCCATCCAAACTATTGTTATTCCAATCTTTAGGAAGCAAACTTTTTTTTCTGTATGCAGTAAAAATTCTTTTAACAGATGATTTTATTTATCTGCGAATTGCCTAACAGCCATTATATTCTATCGAAAGATTTTAAAAAAAAAAAAGAATATATATTTAATAGAAATTTGACATTTGAAAATTTGAGATCATCAGCGATGGATAAATTTGGCTTTTCATTATCGTCGTTCCATGAATATGTCTGTCTAGCTTTAAAAGTTGGATTCTAGAGAAAAATGAATTCAGCAGACATTTGCGTGTTTCCTACGTGTAATTTTAAACCAAAAAATCAATAATTATTGATTATGTAATCAAGATTTTTTTTTTGGCATTTTGGACATAATGAATTTTATTGTTTAATTAAATAGAAATTACAATTTCTTTCACTGGATAACTAGCCAAAATTTATTAATTTATTCACCAAGCTTAACGCAGATTAATTAACTTCATAATATATTCATTTAAAAAATTTTTCAACGAATTAAATTATCGACAACAATTATATGGCAACAATCGATTTATTGATTGATTGATTAATTAATTGATAAAAGATTCAAGTTAATTGGTCAGGAGGACGGATACACATAAAATGAGAATAATTAAATGTTTTGTTTTTTTTTTATATATATTATATTTGACAAGACACATAATAATCTGATAACAAATTGGGAATGACATATTGAAACACATGTAAAGAGAGATAAATTTTTACATTTTACATTTTACAATTAATTAAAAAAAAAACTTGTCGGTATTGCATGTTTTTTTAATTAAATGACAAGTCTTCTGACCAAAATTAAAAGTGAATGATATTATAAGAGCTATTTTTGATTGGTTTATTGGTTAATTAGGAAGATTTTAGTAAATATTGATTATTTGTTTCTTCTAGAAAGTATTAATCAGTCGATCAGATGCTTAAAATTATTAAATTTTATGAGACAATAATAATTCGTAAGGCCAGGAGGAATAAGGATACTTTTTAAATGAATTTCAAATACTCGTCCAACCCGAAAATCGGCGATCTTTTGCCCTTTTAGAAGCCAATATCCATTCACCCTGATCTCGTGTTGTAATTTCGATTAACTCGACAAGGAAAATTCTTTCATGATTTATATGATTTATATGTAGATGTAGATAAGATAAATGATCTATCTGATGACCTATAATAGCTATTCTACTTGCTTGCTATAATATTAATCTCGGTTAGTTCCGAGGATCGTTTTTTTTTTGGCCAAAATTTGCTAGACCAAATTTGATATTTCACGATTGATAAGGCGATTACCATAAATTATTTTATTTGATTATTTTAATCAATTTTATTATGATGTTTATTTATACAATATTTATTCATACAAATAAATGAGACAATCTTTCCTCTCCATGTTTTTTTTTACTATTTAATAAATAAATGATCAATTAGATAACAGTTTAAATATATATACTGTAAGTATGAATATATGCATGCATGCATGCATGTAAAGTTGATTATTGCCAAGATAATGAATTACAAATAAATTTCTTCTGCTCTTTTTCTTCCTATAAAAGTCATTTTAACAAAAATCTCTTGCTTTTATTTAATTAAATTAAATTAAACTAACTAATTAATTATCTTATTTTAAAACCATGTGACACAAAAAAATTTTTTGTACAAATTATTAGAAAAAAATAAGACTTGTCTTTAAATCAATTACACGAATATTTGGTGACAGATTCCCAAATTAATTTATTACAATAATTTTATTTTGATTTTATCTTGATATCAAAAATTGAAAAGCCTCTCTCCTAACAGTTAGCATCTCATATGACAGTTTAATTTGGAAAATCTTGTTTATATTTATTTACATGTTATTCCGTACTCATATTCATTATCAAAGGTCCTCACAATTATAAACATTTACAATAAATAATAATGAACTTTCTTTTCAATTAAAAAAAATTTTTCATTTTTCTCTTTCTTGATAAAAAAGTTTCATATTACATCATCATGAACATGTTAATATATTAATATATATATATATATAATATTTCCGAATTCTTCCTCAAATCTAAGTTAATTTTCAAGAATAAAATTCAACCCGGACCAATCCAATTAATAATTCTGTTACAATTCGGCCACATTTATTTTTGTTGTTTCACGCTATAAAAATAGACAATCAATCAACAATTATAAGCTATTTTTATAATAATAATAATATATTATTATGTTTCAAAAATTTTTTTAAATTGTATTTTAATTTTTTTAAATATAAAAATCTGAATTTTTATTATCATCAAAAAAATAATTTTCACAAATTATTTATTTATTTAATATATTTTACATCTATCACAAACAAATAAAATATTTTATATAAATAATAATCAATTAATTAATTGTCTTCGGAACCCCATCTTCATATTTTTAATATTATCAAAAAGATTACTTTCATCTAATTATAATTAATTCATAATTCGTACTTTCATTTTTCGTTTTTCATTAGATAAAATTAAAAAAAGAAAAATAGAATCAATTTGTAAATTTTTTATACATTTTATATATAGATTATATACAACAATACCACAACCTTCTATTTTTCAACATGGTAACTTTTGCTGCAGATTATTGGGCTCCTGCTCTCGATAGTAAAGCTCGTCGTCGTATGACTGATTTAGAAGGAAGAGCTGTACAAGCAATTAAAAAGAACTTATCAAGATCAACAGTCTCTTCAACTTTAAATTCAACTTCAATCACCTCAACAACATCTCAATCTTTTAATTATCCTTATCACGATAATAATCCAAGAAGAAATAATAGTTTACCGGTTGTTAATGCAATCAATCCGATTCAAACACCCTTTCAACATAACAAACCTGTTATAATTTCTTCTAGAGGTTCAGCAGGAACTTCGCCAACAAATATCAGTTCAATTCCTACTGCCACCCAAACTTCTTCTGATTATTCTTCTTCTTCTTCCGCCTCCTCTTCTCCTTCTACCCCCAGCACTGAAGTTGGATCTTACATTAATCATTTACATGATAATAAAGCTGATGAACACTCAATTTGCAGCAGTATAGAGATCGTCCCCAACAATAATGATCACACTAATGGACATACAGAACATAAAAAAAAGAATTTGGTTCAAAGTGTTCAAAAATTATTTATTCACGATTCAAAAGTCAACATGCAATCATCACCTAAAGAGGAACTGGAAGAATTCAATTTCAAAAATTCACACGATAATGTTTCAATCTTTAAGGGAATCCTCCATCCAAAACTTGGTGGTGATTCAAATAATACCAACAATCACAACGGTACCCATTCTTATCATAGTAATAGTGATATTGGTATTGCAATGGTTAGAAGTGATAGTGGTGTCAGTGGTGGCAATGACAATTATAGTAAAAGTGCTGAATGCGAGTCTTTATTATTGAAGAAATATGGTGTTTGTGATAAAAGTTGTATTGGAAAAGGTGCTACTGCTGTTGTTCGACTTCATCATAAATTTGATAATTCAGAGTGTGAGAGAACTTACGCTGTAAAGGTAATTATTTGTGCAAGCAAATATTATAAAATATTGTTATTATAAATAAGTTACTAATAATTATAATTATATTATTATATTGCTTTTACACCAATATAGGAATTTAGAAAGAAAAGAAAGAATGAATCAGAAAAAGACTATGTAAAGAAACTTACAAGCGAATTCTGTATAAGTTCTACTTTACATCATGTTAACATTGTTAAAACTGTTGATTTTCTTCAAGATGACAATCATAATTGGTGTGAAGTGATGGTAAATATCTTTCTCACATACATAATTATATATTGCATCTTTTGGGAAAAGAATAATCAATAATTGTAAAGTACATAAATTCATTATCTCTTTCTTCCTCCCATTCTTTCTTTCTATTCCTTTCAATAGGAATATTGTGCTGGCGGTGATTTATACAGTGCAATAAAAGCAAGCCATATGACTTCGGTAGAAATAAATTGTTGTTTCAAACAACTTATAATGGGTATCAGTTACCTTCATTCAATGGGTGTTGCTCACAGGTAATTAAAACTTTTAAAGATTTTTTTTTTTTTTTAATTAAATATATATTCAATAAATATCTATATGATGTAAAAATAATTTATACTCACAACTATATACATAATCTATTTTTACAGAGATATAAAGCCTGAAAATTTATTATTGGATAAGAATGGTCACCTAAAAATCACTGATTTTGGTGTATCAGATGTTTTTAGAACATGTTGGGAAGAAGAAGTCCACTTTTCAAAGGGCTTATGCGGGTCAGAACCTTACATTGCTCCTGTAAGTTTATATCAATTATATATTGAGTATTAACTAAATTGAATAAAATTAATTTATTAATTAAAATTTATCTTGCTTCTTCCCCAAAATATTTATAGGAACAATTTGAAACTAAAGAATATGATGCAAGATTAGTAGATATATGGGCATGTGGGATAGTCTATTATTGTATGATATATCAAGGCATTCCATTTAGGATGGCAACACCAGCAGATCCAAACTATGCAAATTATTTAGAAACCAAAAATTTGGGATTGTATGAACCATTCGAAAGACTGCCACGTGGCTGTCGGGATTTAATGTTTCGCATTCTTGAACCTGATACCAAACTACGTATAAGAATTGAAGAGATAAAAAATGATGCTTGGTTCAAGACTATAGAGTCATGTTCCGAGTTTGATGAACCAAAACCAGAATCAGAATTGGAGTCATCAAAATCTACAAAATCATCGTCAGAGCCTTCGTCACGGAAACGTACCTTGACACAAGAACATAAACATCTTCCCCCAATGTGTTTAAAAGAAATTCAAGAGAAGGACGGGAAGAATGGTGCGAAAGATAATCATAATGATAAGGACAATTAACAATCAAACAAAAGTAGTTAATAAATTAATTAATTTTTACTTTATTAATATTAAAAAAAAAACTTGTGTATATTTAATAATTTTTTTTGAATTTTTTTCAATTTTAAAACTTCTCAATTAATTTTGTTTTTTTTTTAATAATAGATTTTTATTTGTAATTAATAATAACAATAATAAAATTATAGATTTCTTTTTTAAGATATAATATACATATATCTGTATATGATATATTTATTTATTTATTTATTTATTTCAATTATCAAAATTATGATTATATAGCTTTCATGTACAGAATTTATTTATTTATTTTATTTATATTAAATCAAAATATTCTCATTAAAACTTCATTTAATAATTTAATGATTTAAATTATTTTTTATGTTTATGTACACAATTTATTTATTTACAACAAAATTCAAATATTCTTTATTTTTAAGCCCTATTCATAATTAATAGTTGTGGTAAAATTCATCGTTGGTTTACTTGTTTGTTGACTTAAATGCAAGTTTTTATTATCAACAATTCATTGATTCAATTAACCCAATTTAATCACTTAAATCTCCAATTAAATATACTGTTATATAAGGTTTTAATATTTCAATCATGGCTTTTCTGGTAATTAAAATAATATATAAATCAATCCTAATCCATCCATCCATCCATCAAATCAAGTCACTTATATATATATATATTTATTTATTTAACAAAAAAAGTTGTAAATTTTCTAATCATTTTTAATAATTCCATTAAATAAATAAATTAAATGAATCAATAAGATAAAAAATCAATTTTAATTTTTGTTATATTTTTTTATTAAACTTTTTTCCAAAAAAAAAAATTATTATTATTATTTAATTAATTACTTTCTCATTAATTTCCCTTTTTCTCCTTATTATCCAAAAATAAAAATTTATTTATAATTTAATTATTTTAATTTAGCAAAAAGCTTGGGTGCAGACTAATCAATCAAAAAATTTTTAATTGGTATGTTATTAATAATGAACCAAACAATAAAACACTTTAATTAACGATGAATGATACTTACACAATGATCAACACAATGCAAGAAATGTAGAAGTTCTTCAACACCTAAAAAAATCATCAAAGAAAAATATTTATAAAATTTTTATTCACAGTACATTAATAATAATAATGATGATGATAATAAGAATTTTTTCTCTTATCATGTCATCATAACATATTAATTGCCTCAAATAATTACAATTTTCATCTGTTCCTCCTGTTTCAACTCGTTTACTACATTCTTCTAAATGATGTTTTAAAGGCTTACAAGAAGGTGTTTCGCCACACGCTATTGTATAATGATGATAATAATTATATAAATGGAAAAAAATTTTTTTTTTTTAATTTATGAAAAAAAACTTTTTACCTTCATCTATCTCAATTTTTGGATCTTCTTCTTCTTCTTCTTCTACCACAACTGCCTCCTCCTCTTTTACTTCTTTTACTTCAGCGTTAACGACTGGGATAAATTTGTCAGTTATATTTGTTATTGGTTTAGTATTAGACATGGGTAAAAGATAAACAGTAATAGTAAAATAGTAATGAACACTTTTTGCTATACGTTAAAATTTATAGATTTTTTTTTTTGTGATTAATCGATATTGGTAATGATTATTCGTGATACGTGAATCGAAGCTAGGGTTCCTTTTTACACTGTAACCCCTGTTCCTATTTGCTCGTAATTATTACAATATTAAATAAAAATAATTACGAGTACCACAGTAACAATGAATACTATTACGAGTATCCATGATAATAATGATTATGAGCATCTAAAATAATTACGAAATGAATTTAAATATATTAATATTCGTAATGCTTGGTTAGGAACTGAATTACTAAAATCAACGCTTTTACACAAAGTTTCATTATTCTTTTTGTGCTATAGGATGATATGAATACTTTTAAAAGCTTTCTATGTAGGAAGATAATAAATCGCCTTTACGCATGATTCTTTTTTTGCTAATCCTTTTGATGAAAACATTTTTTAAAAATACCATAGATTGGCACTAAAACTTTATTGTGACAGAGTATATATTAATATATATATATCAAGATAAAGTCTATCCAATTAAAATTGAACACATTTTTTTAATTCATAAAATAAATATTAAACTTTTTTTAGAAAATAGAAAACTTATTCTCATTTTTTTTTAATAAATATTTTATAATATTCCTTTTTGTTAGAACTGGCCCAAACTGCATTATTAAAAATTACAATAAGTCACCATGTCTTCACCAAATCAACATTTCAATGATACTAACGGTTACGAGAGTCCTATGTCTCACAACAATGATTACTCAAATTGGAATGAAGACTTGGTGACCTCGGAAATATTTTCTTCTTCCTCTTCTGCAATTTCGTCTCCTATCATGACAAATAATGAATGCTTTGTTCCTTTAACTTCCAAAATACTTTCTTCAGCCTCCTCCACCTTAAAACCAATTCAACCAACATTTACTAAAAACATTATTCCGGATACAAAACTCACATCAAACTCTTCCAATAATTTAACTTCTGCCAGTCAAATTTCATTTTCATCATCATCAGTAGTTGAAGAAGCTAAAAAGAAAACTACTGGCGGTCGAAAGAGAAAAGCTGAAAGTATAGAAGAAAAAGAACAAAGACAACGTGAAAGGTATGATGATATTATCATTCTTCATTTATCGATTAATCACAAAATAATCTTTCCAATAAATAACAAATAACTCATTCAATTATAGAATACTTCGAAACCGACATGCAGCACAAATGTCAAGGGATAAAAAAAGAAAACAAATGACTGATTTAGAGTCACAGAATACAGTTCTTAAAGAAGAAAATGTACATTTATCAAAAAGATTAAAGATTGTAGAAGAGGAAAATTCAATTTTATCAGCTAAATTAGATACGATTTTAGGGCAGCTTGCTGAAATTCAATCGCAACTTTCCGTTTCCGAGATGAACAAAGTCCTACTTGACGGTGTTCGCGGATCAGCAGTATCCGCGGCCTTGGAAACTTCAGATTCTTTTAATAATGACGATAATAATAAAGAAGAAGAAGTAAAAAAAAGCAATAATAATAATGATTATAATGATTATTTTAATCAATATCATCAAGAAATTAATGTTTCCAAGAAGTCCCTGCAGCGGCACGTCAAGTTCAGGAACCTTTACGGGACATCATCACAAATCCATTTGCCATACAACCAACAACAACAGAATTGTCAGATCCTATTATTTCAACTAATACTGAAACAAGCCTTGTTGACCTTTTCGATAGCTTTTTGGACTATGATTGGGGATCAGAAGAATTTTCTTCGTCAGTTCATCAACAACAACAATCTTCAAATGGTATTTGCTAATGATGTTATCATCTTGGAATTTATTCGTTGTTGCTTATTAAATGAAAGACAACAACGTTTAAAATCATCCGTAAAGGCTTTACGTGGTTGTTCTGCTTCTAACCTGAAGCATATTCCACGTGATTGGAGAAAATATCCACCATAACAAATATTTATTTTTGTATATAATATAATAATATATCATTAATATTTTTATTTTGCTTTATTCTATTAACTATTTACTATTATTATTAACAAATTGAAATTTTATTATTTTACATTATTTCTACAGTTAAAATAAATAGAGTTTTAACAAATTTTAACAAATAAAATAAAAAATTATAAAAAAAAAAACCATTTTTTTCTATCACGTATATATTTGATATAACAAGAAAAAAGAAAGTCTTCCAATTAAAAACTAACTTTTGAGATAATGTTGAAATTGTATATCAAATATTATTACAGAATGTCCATAATTAATTTTTTTCCCAAGTCAAAAATCCAAAGGTTTTAAAAAAATTTCCTTCCTAAATGGGTGGGTAAATTTAATGTGATGTTTGGGGTTGTTTTTAGAAATTAAATTGTGAATAGGGTCCCTAAACGATTGGATATTTCTTTTTGAAGAGTGAGCATTGAGCTAAATTTATTACTATTCTTTTTTCGTTCTTTTTTATTTACTGAAATAGGTGGCATTGTTATCATTGCATTATAACGAAACCCTTGCCAGATCAAAACTAGGGGTTGGCACCGTTAACCGTTTAACCATCATTTACTTATATATGATTATTATTACAATCAAACCTTGTCACAGCGGACCTCACCACAGCGAATTTTTTGTTACAACGGATTAAGTACTGGCCCCTTTTTTTATTAATATTAATATTAATATTATAAACGTTTGTCATAACGGATTTTTGGTGGGAGTCTTTCTATATGGTTATTATCCTCCTCACAGTAGATTCACGTGACATATAAATGTCCAAATTACCTGATAATAATAGTTGGAGGGAAACTGCAATTCTCCCTTTGGAAAATGAAATATCTAATAATGAAATTGAAAATTCAAGAAATATAGTTGAAGAAATTTCAAAAATGATGTTAATAATTTAATAGTAACACTATGCCTATAATTACTTTCGAGACAGCCTTTAATTTTCTTCAACAAGGTGATTTAGAAATAGATTATAAGCATTTAAAACATTTAAACAAGTGAAAATTATTAGATAATGAAAAATTAATATAACCAAATGTTACAAATAATTTTCATTTCCGCATGTATTATTCATTTATAAGATGTAATGAATCGCATATGATTTTAGCGCAATATACAACATATGTAACATACGCATTGATTATTAATATAATTTGTTTAGTTGTTGTTAATCCTGATTGAATCTAGGAATCATGATTTCAGGAGCATCAGGAAAAAGAAAATCGGATACTAACTAGTTTGTAAGCACATTAATGACTGAATTCTATGCATCTTGAAATACTTCCTGAGCTTTGATTCAAACGAAATCTCAATACTATTCATTAGCATATTGTCAATTTGTCCTATTCACATTATTAAAAACAATAATTATCATCAAATTATTATAATAACCAAAATAGTCAGTGACAATATCATCACCATCACCATCATCACGTGTAAA